CAGAGGTCTTCTGGGGGCACCGCAGCTCAGTTATTTCCCTAGTTTTGCAACCGGCTACATAAAAAGCACAAGCACAATCACTGCCATCGAAAATTTCATACAGACTCTGACCTGTTTATACAGCTCGATACCGAAATGCAAGCACAATATTTATGTTCCAATCCATTTATGTTTTTAATTATATGGTAAAAATGTGAGAGTCAGCAATTCTCAGTAACCGTTCACTGTCACACTTTTATTTTGATGTCTGACTTTGTAAGTAAGGAGTTTAGTGAGATGAAAATTGAGGGTACACAAGACAAACTGGACTTCTGAAAGTCTGGAGAGGTGGAAAGTGCTTATTAGGGGGCTGGGCAGAAGACATGACAGTTTGTGTCTTGGACAGCAAAACGTGTGGTGCAGAAGTCTGTAGGTCTGGGAGGGGACACAGGAGTGTTGGTGTGCATTACCACTCAATGCTTTTAATACCTTCACTGGTTGTCTCTGTCTCGGAGTGAACTTTTAAAAAATTATACTTAATTAAAAACCATTGCTTGAATGTGTCTGTTTCCTCCACATTGGCTGCCCATCCCAGTGCTCCTAGCAGAGAGCCAGTAGTTATCAGGACAAACCTATAGTCCTGTTCATATTAGACTCTTGAATCTAGCCATGTTCTTTCTTTTCAACAGATGTGTCCAGTGTCTTCAATACCTTGAGTAGGTGGGGAAGGAGATAGCTATACTTAAATTATTCAACTTCATTGTGCTGGAGTTTTTACCATACTTCCACGCTGTTCTTCCATCAATGTAAAAGTTACTTTTTTATATTTTTAAGTTATTCTCTTACTTCTGTAACTTAAAATGTTATTGCAGCTTCCAATGATTTTATAACAAGAGTAAGTTTTATACTCCAAGCATAGGTGTCCAACACTGAATCCTCTTAGTCCATTACTTGAAGCCAGAATTCCTAATGATTAATTTAATGGTGGTTTCTCCTTTTGGTATAAAGCAAGGATATTGGCCTCATATCAGTTAATTTGTGGGGGGAAATGTGAAGTCTTGTTGCTGCTTAAAAGATTATTAGCTTAAAAATAGTCCTATAAGCTATAGATTAAACATTTTTCTTCTAACACAAACTTTTTATAGATCTTCGTTGCTATAATCTTTGTTTTAATTAAGTCTTAATCTCCCTGGTGCCAGATAGATTTTTAATACAATAAAATGCAGTGATACCAGTTAATCCTTTTTGGTTTTCTCCAAATAGTTTTAAATGGTAAGAAATGGGCTTGGTTATATGTTGGTTTTGGTCTTCCCTTGACATATAAGAACCATCTTTTGTTTATTCTTAACCAACATTTAACCTCCATGTCTGTTTTACAATCCTGCTTCCTGCTAAACATGAAGAGGTGGTTATATTGTCCATCTGACTTAGTTACAGCCATCACATATGTTTCCTGGAGTTAGAAAAATGTTGTCGTGTCTGTTATTACTCTGTGTAAACTTCTTGCTCGGAAGCAATGCTTCTGAAACGTTTGCATCTATAAGATTCATGCATGTTGATTTATATTCTGTAAGTATGTGCTGACATGGCCGGCCTGACTTCTAGACATGATGCCTGTCCCCCCTTTGGCTTTCACATTGAAACAGAACAATCTCCACATCCTTTTCTTTTTTATATTGGTCCCTGCGGGTTTACTCCTTGGGTCTTCATGCACCAGAATGGCAACCCTTGGACTCCCTTCTAGAGTCCCAAGAGTGGTCACATCTAGTCAGAGAAGCTGGGGGTGAAGAAGAGAGGAAATGAGGCCATGTCAGCTGGAGGAAGGCCGTGGAGCATTTAAAAACCAAGAAGAATTTTGAACGGTGTCCTGAAATGAGTGAATGCCAAGTGTAAGAGGATCCAGGTGATGTTTTTGGGCTTCTTTGTACCCTTGAGAGAATAGGCAACAGCCTGCTGCCTGCGCCAGAGTTTGGGCACATGACACGTTCTCTGGATAATTCTCTGAAAACATCCACTCCATGTGCAGCAGCAGTGAAAAATGCAAATCGAATGTTAGGAGTCATTAAAAATGGGATAGAGAATAAGACGGAAAATATCTTATTGCCTCTATCTAAAATCATGGGATGTCCACATCTTTACTACTGCATAGAGATGTGCTCACCTCATCTCATAAATAGATATCTTAGCATTCAGAAAAGTGCAACAAAAATGATAGGGGTTTGGAATGGGTCCCATATGAAGAGAGATTAAAAATACTTGAACTTTTCAGCTTGGAAAAGAGGAGACTTGGGGGGGAGGGGGGGGCGATATGATCGAGGTCTATAAAATCATGACTGGTGTAGGATTTAAAACAAACAAAAGGAAGTTTTTCTTCACTAAGCTCACAGTCCACCTGTGGAACTCCTTGCCAGAGGATGCGGTGAAGGCTAACACTTAAACAGGGTTCAAAAAGGAGCTAGATAGATTCATGGAGGTTAGGTCCATCACTGGCTATTCTTCTTCGAGTGATGTCCCCGTGGGTGCTCCACTACAGGTGTCAGGCTCGTCCCGGCGCCGCAAACCGGAAAATTCTTAGTAGCAGTAGCCCCCTCTGGAGGACCGCGCGTGCGCAGAGTGTCCCGCGGCGTTCGCGCCTTTTCTGCGTCGCGCGGTCCGACCCGCCAGTTCCTCCTAACTGTCCACGGCCGCAGACGGATCTGGAACACGCTCCTCGATTTGGAACACGCTCCTCTCCTGAGGAGAAATCGTATAGTTAAAAATTAGACATATGTTCTGTTGTTTTTCCCCAGTTAGCCCCTTCCTAACTTAGTATTAGTCAGTTATATATCGTTCATTAGTTAGAGTAGTTAATTGTTTAAAAAAAAAAAAAAAAACTGTTATTTCATTCCCCCGTTATAATTCCGGGGGTACACTCCAACAACTAGTCATGCCCAGTTCTCCCGGGTTTAAGAAATGTGCCTCATGCGGAGAGGCTATGCCCGTGTCTGATGGCCACTCCCGCTGCATTCGCTGCCTAGGGGAGGGCCACATTCCTCAGAAATGTGGCCACTGTGCCAAGCTAACGGTGCGCACAAGGCGTGATAGAGAAATGCGCCTTAAAATGCTGCTCTTCAATAAGACAGGATACTGGGCTGGATGGACCTTTGGTCTGACCCAGCACGGCCGTTCTTATGTTCACATGGCATGCCATTGTGAAGGGAGATGCTATAGTTGATGTAGAAGGGGTGCCATACACAGTATGGCACCCAGCAGTTTGTGATAAGTGAATCTTGCAGGAGCAGAGGACAGAAGCAAATGTTTAGAGTCAAGGATGATGCTAAAGATTGTGGGAAGTTGGTTTGGGAACACAGATACTCCCTCTTTATTGTGGGTCTCATGGTGAAAATGTTGAATGTTTCCATAAATGGTTTCATTTTTCATAAAAAGTCATGAGGTCACTGCTCTTGTGAACTAACCTTTCACATTTGTGTGTGATAACAAAATGTATCGTTTCATTGAACAGCATAAAAGAACTGAAATTATTTAACCCTTCATACTCATTCCATGAAGTTGCAGTAGAACATTTTAGTTCTAGCTACTGTAAGGGACGTACTCACCCATACTTGGGTCAGACCAAGGGTCCATCCGGCCCAGTGTCCTGTGTGCTGACCATGGCCAATGCCGGGTGCCCCAGAGAGTGAACAGAAAGGATAGTTGATCAAATGATCCAGCCCCCGTCATCCAGTCACAGCTTTTGGCAGTTACAAGTTTAGGGACACCTTGGGGTTGAGTCCTTGACCGTCTTGTCTAATAGCCATTGACGGGCCTATCCTCCGGGAACATACCTAGTTCTTTTTTGAACCCTTTGATACTTTTGGCTTCCATAATGCCCCATGGCAGATTGACTGTGCGTTATGGGAAGAAACACAAAATGTTTGTTTTAAATCTGATGTCTACTAATTTCATTGAATAACCCTGGTTCTTGTGTCATGTACAGGGTAAATAACACTTTCTTAGTCTTTCTCCCCCATCCAACCTCTTTCCTATTCCCCCTAAGATGAACGTCCTAGTCTTTCTAATCTCACCTCTTATAGAAGCTGTTCCCTGTCCCTATCCCTTTTGTTGCCCTTCTCTATACTTATTCCAATTCTAATACATATTTTTTGAGATTGGGTGACCAGAACTGCACATTGTATTCATCGTGTGGGCAAATTAGGAATTTACATAGTGGTATTAGGTTATTTTCTTTTTTATTATTATTATCTATTACCTTTCTAATGGTTCCTAACACGTTCTTAGCTCTTTTGCCTGCTGCTGCACATTGAGCAGATGTTTTCAGAAAACAGTTCACAGTGACTCCAGATATTTCTTGTGGGGTAATTTTAGACCCCATCGTTTGGTATGCATAGTGGAGACGCTTTTCCATTGTGCATTACTTTGCATTTATCTGCCATTTTGTTGCTCAGTCACCCAGTTTTGTGATGCCCCTTTGTAAATCTTTCCACTCAGTTTTGTAGTTTTATTATCTGCAGACATTGCTACCTTATTGTTCATCCCATCTTCCAGAACATTTAGTAATGTATTGAACAATACTGGTTCCAGTTCAGTTCCTTGGAGGACACCATTTACCCCTCTCCACTGTGAAAATTGACCATTTATTACTACCCTTTGTTTCTTATTTTGTAACCAGTTATTAACCCCTACGAAGACCTTCCCTCTTATTCCTTGGCTGCCTACTTAGCTTAAGAGCCTTTGGCGAGGGACCTTGCCTCTAAAGTTCAAATACATTATCTCCATCACCTGGGCTTCATGTTTGTTTGCCCCTCTTGAAGAATTCAGGTAAATGGATGAGGCATCACTTCCCTTACAAAAGCCACGCTGACTCTTCCTCAGCGTATTGTGTTCATTGTGTGTTTGATAATCCCATTCTTTACCGTAGTTTCAACCAGTTTGTGTACACAAGCATCTAACTTATACGAGCTTTTCTCTGTCTCTGTTTTATGGTGTCACTTATCAATTTTAGTAAAATGTTTTTTCAACAGGGTCATGTTGGTACAACTGCAACCAAAAAAATTGATGTCTACCTCCCGCTGCACACAAGCCAAGACAAACTGCTGCCAATGACAGTTGTGACAATAGCCAATGCCAAGGTGCATGATCTGATTGGACTAATATGCTGGCAATACACGAGCGAAGGACGGGAACCCAAACTAAAGTACTGTTACTTTTTTTTTTCTTTTTTAATACTGTGTGATCTCTGGTTTTCTCCTCTGTAGCCGGTTTTGCATAATGAAATTGATTTCCATGTCATGATTTTTATAAATAAGTCTTACAGGAACCACCTATTCATTTGTCAATATAAGAGATACATGCACATCTATATCTATTTCTCTTTCAGATAAACTGCTGGGTACTGTACAATGATAAACATATCAGTCCAGGGATTTGTAAATGAATCATAATTTCAAAACTCTCTGTGATATTAAGATCAATCACCCCCACTGTCGGTGTCATTGAAAGGTGTTTTATTTTTACATCTGACCTGTGTTTTGAACCACTTCTTAATGACCAAGAATCAAGCAGCAAATAAAATCTAGATTGTTGATGATGGTGGCATGAGCTACTCAGTATCTGAATATCTTTTCCTGCTCCCTGCTTGACCCAGCTAGTTGATTAGTGACAAGGTAGCCTAGCTAAAACAGGCTTCTGAGTGTCTTGGAATGCCATGGTAGCATCCTGTCTGAGGAATAATATGCTACCATATCGTCGGGTACTAAATTACTCTGCATACATATGCAAAAGAGCTCAGCATTAGGGTTGAGCATGTCATCTGAACTTTGATATTTCCTGACTTTTGAGTGTGTCACTCTACAGATGTGATGTCCTTTTAGTGTTCTCATTAGTATTGAATAGACACCTGATACCAATGTGTGTGTGTGAAATATTTTTCAGTGTTTATAAAGAATGGACAACTATGGGGCTAAATGCATTTAAGATCTAAGGCACCCTCACTGCCCCCATCCTTCTGTGCAGGTGTTTAAAGTCCCCACTCAAATGAGGAGGAACATTGTGACAAAAATGCAAAAGTTGTCATAAAAATTCACTTTTATTTGAAACACTGAATAATGTTTTATTCTTTGATTGAGAAACCATTATATTGTGCATGAGTCCCTGTCAGCTGCTGCTGAAACTTGGCCTGAGTCGCCAGTGCAAGAACAGACCAACACATACTGTTGTCCTTTGAAGTTGTAAAGAATGTTGGTCTCTCGCTGGATTTTTCAGTGTTTGCAATAATCCTTGCACATCTCTTTGCTTGGCGTAGGGGGCAGGAAGGGAAGGCGAGGCTGGCATAAAAACTGAGAGGATGAAAAACATTGTGTGGTGTCTTAGAGAATTTTTTGTTTGCAACAGTAATATTTTAGTGGTAGGTCACACAAATTCGGTGAAATAGGTGCTTCCTGTCCTTTTAATCTGGACATCTTTTATTTTAGAATGACACTGTAAAGTCTGGAAAAATACTTGCCTAATATTTGCTACACGACAAAGGATGAAACAATCATGTAATATAAAAGAGCCTCCTCTGGTAGAAAAGTAGAATGACAGAGTAGAGTAAATGGTTTTGCTAATGACTCAAATTTCCATGTCTGTTCCTTGGTACTGGCATAGTTCTTGGAAATTTGCCCCTGCTACCATTTTTCAGGAATGGGTTTTTATTCATGAGTCCTCTGTGTATTTGTGCAGAGGTAGGCTGAGAACTCTGTGGGCATTCCTCCAATACTAGCAGAATTGGCAGGACAAGTCAGAGAGAGGTTATTCAGATTTACATGCAAATGCATTTATTTCAGATCCCTAAGTTTGCAGATGATACCAAGCTGGGAGGGGTTGCGACTAATCTGCAGGATAGGGTCATAATTCAAAATGACCTGGACAAATTGGAAAAGTGGTCTGAGGTAAACAGGGTGAAGTTGAATAAAGACAAATGCAAAGTGCTCCACTTAGGAAGGAACAATCAGTTTCATACATCCAGAATGGGAAGTGACTGTCTGGGAAGGAGTACGGCAGAAAGGGATCTAGGGGTTATAGTGGACCACAAGTTGAATATGAGTCAGCAGTGTGATGCCATTGCAAAGAAAGCAAACATGATTCTGGGATGCATTAACAGGTGTGTTGTGAGCAAGACACGAGAAGTCATTCTTCTGCTCTACTCTGTGCTGGTTAGGCCTCAATTGGAGTATTGTGTTCAGATCTGGGCACCACATTTCAAGAAAGATGTGGAGAAATTGGAGAGGGTCCAGAGAAGAGCAATGAGAATGATTAAAGGTCTAGAGAACATGACCTAACAAGGAAGGCTGAAGGAATTAGGTTTGTTTAGTTTGGAAAAGAGAAGATTGAGGGGGGGACATAGACTCATAGACTTTAAGGTCAGAAGGGACCATTATGATCATCTAGTCTGACCCCCTGCACAGTGTAGGCCACAAAATCTCACCCACCCCTCCTAGAATAATCCTCTCACCTATATCTCAGATATTGAAGCCTTCAAATACTTCGAAGACCCCAAGATGCAGAGAACCCTCCAGCTGTGATCTGTACCCCATGCTACAGAGGAAGGCGAAAAACCTCCAGGGCCTCTGCCAATCTACCTGATAGCAGTTTTCAGATATCTAAAAGGGTGTCATAAGGAGGAGGGAGAAAACTTGTTCATCTTGGCCTCTGGGGATAGAACAAGAAGCAATGGACTTAAACTGCAGTAAGGGAAGTTTAGGTTGGACATTAGGAAAAAGTTCCTAACTGTCAGGGTGGTCAAACACTGGAATAAATTGCCCAGGGAGGTTGTGGAATCTCCATCTGTGGAGATATTTAAGAGTAGGTTAGATAAATGTCTATCAAGGATGGTCTAGACAGCATTTGGTCTTGTCATCGAGTCCCATCTCCTGCCCTCATGGCCTCTCTAGGTCCCTTCCAGTCCTAGTTTTCTATGATTATTAGCTGCCGTCTTTATTGTAGAGAGAGAGCAGCATAGAGAGGTGGATCTTCTCCCAGACTGAGTTTCATGGAGGTTGTTCCTCCCAATTCTTTTGAATGAACAGATGTGGTATTCCGGTCAGTGATGTATTGTTCTGACACAGGTGAAGAAATGTAGAAATAATTGCAGACACTGCTGTTCCGCTCATCAGTAGTAATCACCATTTGATCACTGTTTGATTAAGAAGGTGATTCTTGTTGTTAGTGTATTTTAAATGTGTGAGATGCAACCGATATCAAAGTCTCGGACATGTGTACTTTTTAAGAACACATAATACATCATATTGACCAATGTCAATAAGTGTAGTATCCCATAAAACAAAATTCCAGTGTCCTCGAAAAAAAGTGTGTGTCCTGGAAGTCAGTTAGCTTCTCCCCTCTTGGACCAATGAGAAGAGGTGAATTTCAGTGTCTCTCTTGGGGGTGATTGCTGTCTAGGAATGACCTTGGCCAGGGATGCTGTCAAATGCCACCAGATCCTGCTCCAGGGAGAAGAGCTAGTGGAAAGGCAGGGTGCATTGGAACCCACTTGCTGTGTAACAGCTGAGAACCCAGACTCTGGGATTCTCAGGAAGGGTAGAGTCTCAAAATTGCAATATCATTTCTTAGCATTTTTTCTTCGTTCTCTGTTTCTTTGATTCATTTTGTCAGAGCAGCTCAAGGTGTGCCCATAGGGAAGGGTCAATTTAACTGCTTTACAGAATAATCTCTAAATAAGGCAATGTGTATGACTAAAGTTTGGTAGCTCATCATCATCACTCATGTTATCCTAGCACTTATGAGCTCTCGTCAGGGACCACAACCCCATTTTGCCAAGTGCACGGAACAGGGGAAAAAAACCCCACAGAAGGTTCCTGCCCTTGTGAGCTTACAATGTAAAACAAGAGGCAGCCAGCGATTACAGCCCAGTGAGGAAACAATAGTATAGTATGTGTCAGCATTGGATATTCTCCCTTTCATTTTTGCTCTGAAACTAGTCATTTGACAGCTACAAGGGAGAGAATGAGGATCAATCGGAAGAAAGCACTAAAAGTTGTGTGGCTAATGCCAGTTTGTAATCTGGTATAAAAATACAGAAAATGGATGTGCTTGCTAATCAAACGAGCAGAACAATGAGAGCGTGCCGACCAATTCATTGTGAAAGTACAGCCCCACCTTCAGGAGAAGGCTATCTCACTGCCAATTTCTTTATCCTAAAATGTAGACCTAATAATCCACAATAAGTGAGCTGCTGTTGACAGCTCTGAGGATGTGCGCTATCCGGTTTGGCCTTCCATTTTGTAATTTTGTCTCTGCTCAGTGTCTCTTGATATGCAAGAGCCTTGACAGTTTTAGCAACCCTGTCCCTGGCCTCTTATATGTAAACTTCAGAATCAGAACCCACTGGACTGTTCTGCTGCTAACCACTGAAGGATGTGCTCTGCTGAGTCGGCCTTCAAAAAGGCATGTGGAAATAAAAACAGAGCGCAACAAACTTCAGTACTGCCGATTTATTTTAGATTTTTTTAAAAACCCTACAATTGGGTGCTCCTGCGGCTAAGCTCTTCATTCGGTCTACAATAAACTCTGATTTTCAGGACCTTCAGCATTTAACTGAGATTTGGGGTTTAATCTTATCTCAGTGTACATGGATTTACTAGTTAAATGCGTAAAATTTGTATGTATTAGATTTTTTTCCCCATAAGTTGCACACGGCAGTGTACTTAATAAATACGATATGCAGCTTCCCTAGTAATTGTTAGAACCTGCTCTATTTTATGCTAATATCTTGTGTGAATACCAGCTCATCGGGAACAGAGCAATGGCTTGTGGACAAACGTGGTATAGTAGACTAAATTTTTCCGCAGCTTAATATGTGTGTGATAAAGTATTTGCTCCAAGTAACCTCCAGCTCTGTAATTTGTCATTAATGTTTTGCTTGTCCTTTCTCTCTGGCAATAATAGAGATTGCCTGTTTTTAAACAAACGCAAATGCGTACAGCTAACGGAATTCTGATTTAGCTTATAAAAATAAGATGATTTCAGAGTTGTGCTGAACCTATATTATTCCTCAGAAATCTTTGTTTGCTCTTTGAGGAACCTGAAGCATAGTCAGTTTATGGCACATGAAGGGCACCATGTTTGTGCAGCCAAGGAGGATACCTCTGGATTGAGGGCCATGTTTCAGCATTGATTGTTGTGTTGGGCACACCTACCACACTGAGCGCAGTGCTCTGACACATGCCTTCATCTCCCCCTAGCTTTAATGAGAATTATGCACATGTGGCAAGTACAAACCAGGCAATTAAATGGTATTTATACCTCAGGCCATCCATCAGGCGAGTTGTGCCAAACGACTAGGTTCCTGCCACAGCAGGGCTAGCAGTCCAAGGGCAGACACAGGAATGGCCCAGAAGAGTGCAGTACAAAGACGAGAGCCAGACGGGCCTTCACACTGAAATGGGCCATGCAATGAGGGACAGATTTTTTTTTTTATTAGCTTTATGCAAAGCAGGAAAGTGACTGTGCAGAGCTCAGACTTCATTGTGTTGAAAGAAATCCAGACTGAAATGCATCTTTCCTGTCTAGATTTCTAACTGCTGTTGCCACTCTTACCTTTGATCAGCTTTCATAAAGTTTACTGCTTGTTCTTGAAGAAATTTAAAATTAGTTCTACAATGCAGAATCTGTTCTTCATAACAGTTCAGAGGCTTACAAACATTTCTTTTACAACATTGCAGAATGTACACAATTTACAGTGATAAACATTGCTGGATGACTTCCTTGTTAGCCCTCCATTTAGCAAATTTACAGTTTACATTAATATTAATGTGTCATTATTGCCTATTTTATATCATAAATATCATAGACATGACAATATAAATATAGATCACCTGGAGTAAGCACTCTCAATAAGCACAGTTGCAACCTAAGGTTTGTGAATTAATTGCGAAAATTGCAAATCAGGTAGTCAGCGAAATAATTCATTGTCACATCCAATCAATAAACTTTGTAAATCAACTCATTTAATTCAAAAAATGATCTATATAGATCAAGCGACCAATTAAACAATTAGCATACACTTTGCAATTAATTAATTTAAGCATCAATCATGCAATTAAAACTCCAAATTTAAACTGCAGAGTTTAGAAACATACTGCCATGTGAACACTGAGGCCATACTTCATGACTCTAGAACAAGACTGAACCCTGGCAGACTTTCTGTAACAACAGCTACAAATTTAGAGTTGAATAATACGAGCGTTGGTGTTTAAATTTTAATATGAAAAATGTGATAAAGAGCCAATATTGTTATGTCTTTTATCTCTGTAAAGCTAGATCTCTGTGATTTTAGCCTGTGGAAATAAAACCGATTTAGCTCTCTCCTCTCCTTCCACCCCCCAGCATGTGTCTGAGAACTACTGTTCTCTTTTTCAAGCATTAATGTATAATAATTTTTATTATTTTCATTATTTGGACTGTGTAGGACTTAAGTCTTTTGTGTACTTTTCTCCACAATAATAATTGCTTCAATGGAACACAACTTCTTGACTTTTCATGTAGATATTCCCTTAACATATTTTTGTTGCACTGTTTACATGTGTCCATACTGCACCATTTGAACATTTTTTTGTATTAATTTTTTCTCTGTTACTAGATCTAAAACAGAAAAACGTAGACATTACTCATTCAGATTTCATTCTAAAAAGTCCTAATAAAATATGTTTTCACAGATGGAAGAAATATTACTGACACTTTTTCAAGTCACATAACTTGTACAGAACTGGGAATATTTTAATTGCCGATCTCTCATTTTGCATACAAATCAGTTAATGTGAAGCTGTTCTGCCTTATTTGGATGTTTTCTTTTTACTGCTTTATCACATGATTATGCTAACTAAATGGCTTGAGGCTTGAACCTGTGTATAAATATTGTAAATCAGTGATATTTAGAGTGCCTTGATTTTGACACCACAGAGGTCTTCTGGTTTGTTCTAAACAGCCTTTAGCAACTGACACTAGACCATAGAATAAGGCTGGGTCGTAGCTTCCCCTCTGAAATACACTTGCTCTTTATTTGTTTCAGTGACAATGTCAATGCCTACTGTCTCCATATTGCTGAGGACGATGGTGAGGTTGACACGGACTTTCCACCCTTGGATTCCAACGAGCCTATTCACAAATTTGGCTTTAGCACTCTGGCACTGGTTGAAAAGTACTCTTCTCCAGGCCTGGCAGCAAAACAGTCCCTCTTTGTTCGAATGTGAGTATTGACACCAGCTTTCTAAACTGTCTTAACCTCTGAGCATGGAGTTTAGCAAACGCTTGTTTTTCTTGTCCTCTCTGCTCTTAAGTATTTGAACTTTGCAAAACTCAGGTTTCAGGTGTATTTCGGAATCTTCGTTAGTAGAATACACAATCCTGTATAGATCGTGCAAAAAGGAAATGCGGCTCAGGCCTTCAATTTTACCTTTTTCTCAAAATGGCTAAAATCCAAAAGACAGTCTCTTTCTGGTTCTTACAGTGCATATTAAAATAAGCCACTCAATATGATTCACATAGGATGTGTTGGGCACTTTTGTGCTTCTACTACTAATACATATTTGGGTGATTTTTCACACTTTTGAGTTCACACCATTCAATTCGGTTTGTACACACCACTCCTTTGTGAAAAATAATTGTTTATAACTGAAATATAATGTGTTTTGAATTGCAAATTAAATAATACACTCTCCTGCACCAGTAGTTATAAGAGAACCAAACTTATAGGTTGGTTGTAGGTACTTCAACCTCAGCCTAGTACCTTAAATGATAGTTATTTCCCGCTCTGTCATGCATAGAGTTTTTACTTACTGCAGAAAGAAATAATTTAATACTGTTTAGCACTGTGCATGGTAGCCGCTGTATGTTTAGTGCCAAATGCAGGTCAGTCATTGCAGCATCAAGTTAGTATCACAAGTCACATGTAAACAAAACAAACATTTTGTTTGCAGAAGTTTGTGTGCTTCAAAAAGAAACTGATAATAGATTTTTTTCCTTAATATTGGAAATGCTTCATTCAGTAAAATGTTGCCTTTGGGCCCATAGTCACAGCCAAAGAGGTGTTTCTAGTTGTGTTCTCCCGAATGCAGATAAGATGTATTACGTGTTTGCTTACTTTTTGGTGTGATGTCAGCTGTGCGCATTGTTCCTTGCTGACAGGTAGGATCCCTACCCCAAAGAGCATTCTCAGAAATCCCATGCAGTAAGCCAATATTGACTCCGCCAGTGGAACCCACTTCCCTAATTTTGCCTAGACTGTTTGGTTAGGCTGCATGCAGCTGTCATGTTCACGGGGAGGCAGCTCAGTTTGCCATCTCTGGTACTTTGCTGTTGGGAGACGTCTCCCCGAGCCTCATAGTCAAATCCTGTTAACATGTGTGCGCAATCACTGCAGCAGTGGTTGGCTGCTTTCTTGTAGGCATCATGGCTGAGTTCTGGGAGGGATTTGAAAGGGAAAAGCTTCATAGCCCCACTGAGTAGTTCAGGGCTGTATCCATGAAGAGAATGAACAAGATCCTGTAGGAAAGAAAGCAAGTTTGAAGAATAAAATGATGGGGCAGCTCTCCATTCGAGAGCCAGGGGCAGGGTCTTTCTCACCTGTGAGGCAGAGTCTCCAGCTCTCGCGTAAAATATTCCGTGTGCTACAGCCATCCACTAGAGGCTAAGCATTCTGCCGAGTCCACAGAAGGAAGAGGATTCTTTGACATGGCTCATTTGTGTGTCTTGGGGCAGTGCAAAACAACAAATAATCCAAAACCAAAATAGGCTTTGGAATAAGAGGTGAATGATTTGCTTCGTTTCTTTTGCTTCAGCTTTCACACACTTGCATAGAGTGCAGGAGTACATCTGAAAAGATAGGCTCCTCTTAAATACATGGCTTGATTTTCAGACAACATCCTTTTAAAGAGCATATCCTAATTTTCTTTCCCAGAACATGCTTTAAACAGAAATTATGCACTTTTCCCTTTTCTGTGCTGCTTTTCAGAAGGGCTAAACACGTTCAGACCATTCCTCCCTTCCACTTTGTGGGTGCACACACGCACTATTGCTGCTGCTGGCTGAACGCTCTCGTGCAAGTGGTGAGGTAGGGCATATTTGTGAGCTCTGTTGATGCAGTTGTATGGAAGAGGTATCACTAGTTCACAGGAAGTGCAGCTGGCTATTTTATAGAACAGTGATACTCACTATTTGCAAAGGGGTGTCAAATGCCTAATGACTTAACAGGAAAAACCGTACCACATCGTTTTCCTCTAATGCTGGGGGTATCACTGGTTACAAAAGTAGATGCAGACTTCAGATTCACATGTGACTTTTGAAGTTAACGATGTCGCTCTGAACAAGTACGCTCTTACGTGAACTGTCACAAATCTCAGCTGTAACATGTGCACTGCTCTGTTTCTTTTGGAGGCCCCCGAGCAGGCTGTAAAAACACCCAGCCCATCTGTGCCACAACAACATTTTTTCTCCATCTAAAAGCCAGAGCCAGCATTAGTGGGTAGCAAGTGGGGCAACTGCTTGTGGCCCATGCCACAAGGGCCCTCACAAAGCTATAATGCTCAGGCGGGAGCCCCTGGTGGTGGGGCTTAGGGTTGTGGGCTTCAGTCTTCTTCCCTGGGCCCCAGCAAATCAACTGCTGGCCCTGGTTGGCAGGCCCCTGAAATCAGCATGTGGCCCTACGGGGGCCCGGGAACCCTGACTGAAAGCCACTGTACAAGAGCACAGTGAAAGAAAAGCCAGAACTGACCAGGGAATGAATAATTGGACTGTTCGCTTGAGTCTTCGAGAAGCAACTGTGTGATTTCTTTTCATTCTATTATAATTGCAACAATCTTCATGGTCCAGATTGTCACTGTCCATAGAAATGGAACATATGCAGTCTGCATAATTTGGAATTCGTAAATCTCACTTGATTTCTTTTTTGGCAATGGTTACTGTCTGGAGAAAGGAACAGTTTTGTCTGTTTAAAATGACAGAAATAAGCAAATAAGAAGTAAAAGATGGAAGTCCCTCATTGCCTGCTTTTAGATTTAAAAGGTCAGAGATCTTAAATATGTGCATTTGCACACTGTAATGTCTGTCTCTTGAAATGGAGCCAGAACAAGCTTTGTACCTACAGAAATATAGCACCGGTTTTGAAATGTGAAGTTCATTCCATTTGCTGATGACTTTAAATTTGAATAAAGAACTGAAGTCCTGTTTAAACAACGTCAGATTTGAAACTGCTTGTTTAATAAGCACATAACCTATACGAATGGGTGAGATCATCTTCCGGTAAAACCCACCCAAAGGTCCAATGGAGGCAGACACTCTCCTGGGGGAGCCCTTCATGGAATTCCTCCTCATGTCAGAGCCATTTTAAACCCAGGTGAGTTAGATCAATGGCTCAATACATTTCAAGTAATTTAAATCACTTGATTTTTTTTTAATAATTTCAATCATGCTGAATTTTTGTAAAACTAATATGAAAGTATGTACTCTTGGAACTTTAGATTAAAATTTATAATTAAATTATTGTTTTTAAATGCTACTTCTGACAGTGTATATTAATTTAACTTTACAAAACACTGACAATTAAAAACTGGTACTACTCATGTACTGAAGTATTTGCAGGATCAAGGGGTAAAATTTTATTGTTAAAATATTTTATCTTAGCAGCGAAGACATCCTCATCCCAAAATAAAATTGTTTTGGTGTTATCAGTGAAATGTTACTTAAGTTTTCAGCACATGAACAAAGTAATGAGAAGTCTCTTAAACCCACCAAACCAAATTTTCCAAATTAGACACCTATAGATAGGCCCCTAAACCCACATTTCAGTGCCTGAGGATGGGGTTTTAAAAGTACCTCTGTGATTTAAGACCATGTAGCCCACTGATTGAGAACTGCAAAATCTAAGGATGGAGCAGAGCCAAGCCAAATGGTTTCTAGTGCCGGATTGAAGTTCAGTTTATTTAGGGGGCTGTTAACTTATCAGCTCTGTTTGAGGTGGCTCTTGCAGTGGGGGTGTTATGGAAGGCACTAGACTCGTCGCTTGCAGCACAGAGGTGCATTTTAAATGTGAAACTTTAGTAGATGAATTAATTTCTCGGTAGAATTTCAGATTTTACTAACAATTTGGACATTAAAGGAACAAATACAAACTTCGGCTAGCCACAGAAGTGTGTAAAACGGGGAGAAGGTAAATAACTAGCAACATTGTACATTTACAAAAAATCAAATTTTGTATTTTTTTGGTTTGATTTTTTTTATTTTATTTATTCCCGCCCCCCAGCTCCCTAATCTCTTTAATGGGGATGGGCCGTAGACCTATTGGGCATTAGGCCTGCCCCCAAACATTGAGCATTGGGACCTGCCCCAAGTGGCAGGGTTTCCACAGTGGCTCTGCTAGGACGCATTCTCCATGGCTGCCCTAGAGACCTCCCATCTCCTCTTTCCTAGCAGGCTCTACAGGAATGGCCGCATGTTGGAGGCCAGTGAGCACGGACACTTGCTCATCCAGGCCACTTGCTGTGTGGCTTTTGGATCCCACAGCACCTGGGCCAGGAGAAAGTGCTGGCAGGCAACTGACTCTTGCCCCCATGCTGCTGCAGGAGGAAGAGGGGAAAATCAAAGTAGATAGGTTGAGGTCAGCGCTTCGAGCTGGAGATCCAGTCAGGTCCCATGGCAGTAAATACTTTACTGCTTGCTCAGGGAGACTAGCCATAGTCAAGTGAATAGTTTTCTCTGGCTATTAGGTAGACCAGTTAAGCAAGGTGGACCAGCAGCTCCAAATTGTAGATGGCGTAATGACAAGCCCACTCAAAGCGGTTCCCTTTAGGGAATACTCTGATACATCCTGACACTGGGTCTTCGCTGAGCAAGAAAACTGGAACTGTAGCTATGACCAGGTTCCTTTGGATTAATTTTTCAAAAACGGCCTGTGCCCTCTAGAAATCTGTACCCACTGCCTTGGTTTGGAACCAGCCAATAACTAAACCACCGTTCTAATGTCAGTGACACCCATTACAAATACTCCTGATTGTGAAATGGAGAGGCCTAAAGACTGGGGGAGTTCCCAAGTTCGTATGACTGGCGAGTAGCTATGAAAGAGACGTCTTTTTAAGAAATCAAACCATCCTTACTTGGTCAATTCTTCCATGTTACCAGAACCTTCCCATTAACTGTGAGTTTCTCTTGGTGGCTTAAGACGGGTGGGCAAGCGTTTTGGCCCGAGAGCCACAT